GTTTTTTTTTTTTTTTTTTTTTTTTAGACCTGGCCCAAAACGACGTAGTTTTGGCCAAGTCATTTAAAAAAATCCTTGGGCCAAAACGACGTCGTTTTGCCCAGGTTGTTTTTAAAAAAAAAAGTCGCGCACATCTTCTTCTTCCTTCTTCTTCAACTTGCAGACCCTTCTTCTTTCAGTCATTTCGTCGACCACTTGGTGTGCAGCTCCAAGAGGTCGCACCAGCAGCTCCAAGGGACCTCTAGGCTTATTTTCATGGCGTCCAAGAGGTCGCGCGACCCCATTGGCCCCACTGTGGCTCCGCCTCTGTATCCACCACCTCAATGGAAAATATCTTAGAAAAGCTACCACCAAACCCTTAAATTTCAAAAGCACAGAAAAGCTATTTATTTCACATATAAATATGTATAAGTACAATATTTAAGAGTGTTGCTAAACGAACCCTAAAATTAACTGAGTGCACCTTACTACCAAACTATTTATTGAATTACTAATTTACCCTAATATAAAATGACCAAAAAAGATATATTGAATTGTGAAACAAATAAAATTTTAATAAGTACGCCCTACTTGCCACATATTCAACCATAATCAAATAGAGAGCATTGGCAGGTGTCGTTGAATGTTCAAAGTTCTTGCGTTGAATTGTTGTCTTACCTTGAAACTTGTAAGAGACTATTTCTCTGTTTTATTTATCTGCTAAACTTGAATTATTGTCTTGTCTCCGCGATTCCTTATTGTAGATGATGGTTGGCAACATATTGAAATAAAGACAAGGATACTGATGATGTTGTACAAGAAACAGGAAGATGATTTTCTAGAGACGTGGTTGTGGTTGCAATTGAGGTGATATTTTGTTTAGTTCAGTTAATTTTGTGGTTTTTGTGCAGGTAAGACTTTGTTGTTTGAGGTATACAAGCTATTAGCTGAATGAAACGCATTGGCATTTGGTTTCTTTCACTTTGTGGTTGCGGGAGGAACTGACTATTGGTGGGATATGTATCTCTTTTTTCTTTCTAAAGGCTTTTGATTTCGTTTCTTTACTTTGTGTGATAGAGTGTATTAGGGGTGAGCATCAAAACCGGAATACCGATACCGTCCCGAAATCGTGCCATTCCGTGTCAAACCCGTGCCAAACCGTTTGATGTTGATGCTTAAACGGGATGAAACCGTGTCATCCGGTTACTGTTTGGTACGACATCGGTATCAGATTTGTGATCCCGTTTGGTGCCATACCGTACCATACAGTAACTAATTATTATTAAAATATTATTTCCAAAATTTCAGATTTAGTATATCTCTCACACGAACGAACGAAACTTAGGAAAGATTTTTCAGATCCAGAAGCTTTTTTCCTCTCTCCTTCCCTTCCCTCCACCATCGATCGATCCATCTCAAATCTCAATCTCCTCTTCTTCTTCTCCTCCTCTCTCTCTCTCTCTCTCTCTCTCTCTCTCT